AAGAGAATAACACTGGAAAAGGAGTGCATCATTAAAAAGTCACAGATTAATGTTGAATTGATATTATGTTGTATCTGAACAGGAGCACACAATATTTTGTACTGGTTTGAGGGAGATATTTAACTTTTGAGAGGCACGCCACTGGCCAAATTTACAAAAGGAGAAACAACTAGGACAGAATTTAAACAGAATTCGATTCATTTTGAATGTCATTAAAATTCAGTTACCCAAATCTTGTTCTTATTTTGATTATTTTATATTTGATAATTTCCCCTCCTATCACACTGAAAGTTACAATTCTTAATATGACAAAGGTAGAATTTGCTGTGATTCTTGGAGCTGTCTGGCTACCACACATATAGATTCGAGCAGTTGGGGGGGGGGTAGTTGCATGCAGTAGCAATAGCAATAGCAATAGCACTTAAATTATATACCACTTCACAGTGTTTTACAGTCCTCTCTAAGCAGTTTACAGAGTCAGCCTATTGTCCCCAGCAATCTGGGTCCTCATTTTACCGACCTCAGACGGATGGGAGGCCGAGTCAACCTTGAGCTGTTCAGAATCGAACTCCTGGAGCGAGCAGTGAGTTAGTCTGTAGCCCCAAGGTCTCAAATGATGCACCTCAAGAAATGACAGTGCGGTGACATGGTTGCTGTCTTAATGGCTGTCAAAATGGCTGTCAGGACGTAGGGTTAAGAGTTATTCCAGCAGATAGGACAAGAAACACCGAGTTTAAATTACAAGGATACAAGGATTTAGTTTGCACTAGATTCTAGTTTCCTTCTACCTTCTTACATTCTATTATTTTAAATATTGCCTTCCTATGACTTGATAAAAGTACTGGCTTCAGATGAATGTTGCCAAGCCTAGTTGATGGCTACAAGAAATTCTAGGCTTCAAACATAACATTTGCCAGATACACTAAAGATCATTAGTGCAGTAATAATTTCCATAGCTGGAAAAGATCTCTTTTCCTGAAGTGTTGTGACTGACAATCACAGCAAAGACAAGGGTTCACTAAAACATGGTTGACATGCTACTCTAAGCTATGGCTTGTTTAACCATGGTTTATTGAATAAGCTACAATTGGTTGAGTCCGCACAACATGCTAAGCCACGACCATCCCTTATACTTCAAAACGATTGGGTTGGCATTGAGATTGAGATGGGCAGCCATAGAAATTAAACAAATAATTAAATCAATAAATAAATTCTGAAATAGCATGATGGGTGGTCCCCTTCACAATAAATCAATTTCCATATGTTGAGTCGATGGATAGGACACCAACTGTGCAGAAATTGCTTGGGTATTGTTAAGTAGCTAAATGTATTATCACCATACTTCTTCCCTTTTTCATTTCATTTTTTTTCTGCACTTTTCCCTCCAAATCCAGTTGCCTTTTTGCCCATGATATAACTGACTTATGGAATCACTACAAGGAGATTCAGTCAGGGGAGTGTATGAAATTAAAAAAAAGCTTGAGAGGAGGAAAGAATGGCTCAGCCAGAACCATTTGATGGAACCTGCCTGTTAGGAGGCAGTACGCCTCACAGTCCTGTTAATGTGTTCTCCCATCCTTGAATCAGGAGGCAAATACATCAGCCAGAAAACAATTTCCCAAACACCTTTTTTTTATGCATTACAGGAAGAAGGCTTGTTGTGTTCCTACTCTCACCACCAGCCTCGTATCCAAGGTGCTGGCTTGTTCCAATATCTCAGGGGCTGCCACAAAGAAGAGGGACTCAAGCTATTCTCCAAAGCGCCTGAAGGCAGGACAAGAAGCAATGGATGGAACACTAATCAAGGAGAGAAGCAACCTAGAACTAAGGAGAAATTTCCTGACAGTCAGAACAATTAACCAGTGGAACAACCTGCCTCCAGAAGCTGTGAATGCTCCAACACTGGAAGTTTTTAAGAAGAGACTGGACAGCCATTTGTCTGAAATGGTATAGGGTTTCCTGCCTGAGCAGGGGGTTGGACTAGAAGACCTCCAAGGTCCCTTCCAACTCTGTTATTCTGGCTATGGCCAGGAAAGTGACTGGCCCAGGGATTGACGGTGCTGCTCCTCTTCAGGTGGGCTCTTCATCCACCTGCACTGCTAGCTCCATTCCTGGACTGCCCCATGGTGTTACTGCAGGCCCCTCTGCCCCTCTTCTACTACTGGTGGGTCATTTTATTTTTGTTCCTTCGAGTCAGTATTGACTCCTGGTAACTGTCTGTAGAAGTAACCTGATAATATCTGTCCTGCCCCAGAGTAAAAAAAAAAAAAGGTTATTCTTTAGGCATGATTGCTTAAGGTATGCAAAGCATTTCTAAACTGTTTTCGCGTGTGTGTATAAGTAGCCAAAACAAATCTTTAAATATACCATTGCTCATAATTCTTACTCTACAGACTAATTCCGGGAATTAATCAATTCGTAACTGTTGACTTTTAGAGACATAGCAGGCTGTACGCAGATGAACAATTCTATCATTACTGGTGCTTTAAAAATGCATAGTTTGGATATTTGGCAACTTAAACCACACTAAATCTTAGAGAATTCAATATGAGTTAAGATGCACGCACCCATCACGAATAGGTCTAGGATGCAGAGGGCAGTCCCTCAGACGTGCTAAGAAGAAAACAGTTACAGTGATTTAAATCAGTTTTCTTCGTCATTCCTAGTAATTCTCTGCTCCTGGAGAATAGAGATCTTCATCCCCTCAGACGGATAAATCTTATTAGAAGTGAAAATAACTGGATTGGGAATCGTGCTCAGGAGCTAGAATTTGTGCATATTTGCAATTCAGCTACAGGTTAAAAATCTGAATCCTAAATTTTATGTTTCACTTGATTATAAATTATATATTAGATTTTAGTTATTATTTTCTATAGTTGCTCATCGCAACCAGTGCCTCTGGGTGGCATACATCATAAAAACGTAAAACAATTAAAACAGTATAGAATAATTATATATGATTGTTAATATATGTTATGTATATAACGTTCAGAAAAAGTTTCTGATCAAGCCATAACATTGGAATCTAAATGCACTTCACAAGTTCAAATCTACACTGTTAACATTGTAACATTGTTCCATTCCACTTTATTGGACTGCAATATAAATGTCTAGATTACTCATCTAATTTTTTAAATCACCATACAATCTAGAAGATGCATCTGGAATTAGAAATGGATACAGGTATATCAAGATGAATAAACAAAATGAAAATGACCATGGACATTTCTCCAATAACTTCTCCCTGTGGTTAAATCTATGGATGAAACAAAAGCCAAACTCTTATAAAAAAAAAGAGTTTTTCCCCCTTTTATAAGGAGGATGGAAGAGAGTGAACTATTTTCTATTAAACAACAAATAAAGAAAAAAGAAACACTTAACCTCATTCAAAAATTTTGCCTCTGAGGAAAGGCAACTAAACTTTTCTTGCCTCCTTTCTAAAATGACTCCATCCTGTTATGATTGCTCTGCTATTCATCGTCCTGTGTGATGTGGACTTTCTTTTTTGTTAATTCTGACTATGCATTTCAGTGAGACTTCAGAGGAAGGAAAAGAAAGCGTACAAATGGCTCAGGCAATAAGGCAAGATTAGAGCTATACGATTCACTGAAAAATGTTGCTACACAGGGAAAACATATTGCTTTACACAGTAATATTAGGTAGCTAGGCTGTCCCAAGCAGTTGTTTTTGTGTTTTGGTGAAAACGCTGCATTTATTACTTCTAGAGAAGCATTTATTATTATTATTATTATTATTATTATTATTATTATTATTATTATTATTATTATTATTATTATTATTATTATTATTATTATTATTTCTAGGTGCTTGTTGGTTACTCTGCCTCCAGTGGCCAAAAAATAATTTGACCAACTTTGCGGACAATACCATCCCGTCTCGAAGGAAGATCTGTCTGTCTAGCTAGGCTAGGGCAGGGGTAGTCAACCTTGGCTCTTTTATGACTCGTGGACTTCAATTCCCAGAATTCCTGAGCCAGCTTAGCTGGCTCAGGAATTCTGGGAGTTGAAGTCCACGAGTCATAAAAGAGCCAAGGTTGACTACCCCTGGGCTAGGGAAACAAAATCTTACACCGCAGGTCAGCCACTTGTCCCGAAGCAGCCCAGCCCAGCCACTCCACCCCACCGAAACAGCAAGGGGGCGTCACTGCTCCTTCCCCTCCCCCCCCAGCAGATGCAGGTTCATCTGTTGCGCTTTTGGCACGGACTGCCAACAGATCTCCAAGATTTCAAGCAAACTTTCCCAGCCCCGGGTGGAAAGAGCGAGATCCAACAGGAAATTCTGAAGGCAAAGCGGGCGCTCGCTCTCTCCCCCCCCCCACCCCAACCACCTCGGAGCGCTTTCCTCTTCCTTCGTATTTATTTCAGGGAATTAAACTGAAGAAAGGGGGGAGAAAGGCGTCGACGGCAGCCACCGGGCGTTCGGCGGGCGCCGAAGCCGAACCGGGAACGGTTCTCCTTCTCGTCCGTCTTCTCCCATTAGATGATTAGGGGACTGGAGGCTAAAGCGTATAAGGAACGGCTGCTGGAATTGGGTATGTCTAGTTTAACGAAGAGAAGGACGAGGGGGGACATGATAGCAGTCTTCCAGTATCTCAGGGGTTGCCATAAAGAGGGAGTCAAGCTATTTTCCAAAGCGCCTGAAGGCAAGGCAAGAAGCAACGGATGGAAACTAATCAAGGAGAGAAGCAACCTAGAACTAAGCAGAAACTTCCTGACAGTGAGAACAATTAACCAGTGGAACAACCTGCCTCCAGAAGCGGTGAAGGCTCCAACACTGGAAGTTTTTAAGAAGAGACTGGACAGCCATTTGTCCGAAATGGGATAGGGTTTCCTGCCTGAGCAGGGCGTTGGACTAGATGACCTTCAAGGTCCCTTCCAACTTTACTACTCCTATTATTATTAAGCTGAAAGAATGGTTTCGTGTCTTGATTTCAACATAGAAAGTTCTCTCCCCCCCCACCCCCCCCCAGAGCTACTTACGATCAGCGGCAGGGAGCAGATGGTGAAAAGGGCGGTCATGAGCGCCAGCAGGACCAACTGGCCCAGCTCCTCGGTGCGCCCGGAGGAAGGGAGCCTGGCAGGGGCGGCTGCGCCCTGAGGGTCAATCAGGTGGGTCCTGCGCGGGGGCTGCCGACGCGCCATCCGATAGAGGCTCCTCATGCTGCCCAGATTGCACAGGCCCACGGCCAGCACCAGCAAGCCCAGCAGGGTCGCGTAGAGCACCGAATAGAGCCATCCGCCGCCGGCCATGCGAATGAAGCACCACGTGCCCGGACAGTACTGAACGTTGCTGCCGAAGCCCAGGAAGGGCAGGGCGCAGAAGAGCGCGCAGAGGACGGCCGCCGTGCCGGTGAACAGCGCGCCCCAACGCCGGCTGGTGTGGCGTTCGTAGAAGTAAGGCTGGCCGAGCGAGAGCCAGCACTCCAGGGCCATGGCCAGCAGCAGCGTGGTGGACGCCAAGCCGAAGAAAGCCATGAGGAACGCGAACAGCTGACACAGCGTGCCGGGGGAGCGGCTCGCTTCCTCCCCGGGGTGGCTGACTTCGGGGGCGGCGGCGGCGGGCGGCCACAGGTCGATGAGGCTGCGATTGTGAGCATAGGCGGCCAGCACGATCGGGCTCAGCAGACACTTGCCCAGCAGGTCGGTGGCGGCCAGGGTGCTCACCAGAAGGTAGAAGGCGGACGCCCGCGGGCGCCCCTGGCCGCGCTGCAACTTCGCCTTCAGATGGTGCTGCCACAGCAGCCCCAACGCCAACACGTTGCCCAGCAGCCCCGCCGCGAAGAGTAACGAGCCGGGCAGCACCGACTGGCCTGCTTCGAGCCTCAGGGTCCGGTTGCACCGGTAGTCGCCTGTGGCCATGGAGAGGGTCCGGCTGGGCTGGGCGCAAGGGCAGCCGGTGCGCGTAGGGAGCCGGGAGGGAGTGGGGACCACGGGTAGAGACCCAGTTATGAAGGGAAGGGAAGGAAACGGAGGGGGAGACGACGAGGAGATGCTCGACGCCGCCAGACGGGGCGAGAGTGGGGAGGAAGGAGGGCAGGGAGGTGGGGCAAGACAGGCGTTGGCTAACAGAACAAGGCCAGTCTATAATGCGGCGGCGGGGGGGGGGAGCCGTTTGTTCCCACGGAGACCGGCGAAAGAGTCCTGCCCTTCTTGAGGAAGGGGAGGGATAGCAAGAGAGAGAGAGAGAGAGAGAGAGAGAGAGAGAGAGAGAGAGAGAGAGAGAGACTGGGAACCTGAGGGCAGGCGAGAGTTGTCTGGTAAATAATCTTCTGACCTTGACTTCGATAGAATCGAGTGGATAGAAGTGATTGCTAGAATAGCCAGCAGAGTTTTGCCAACATCTGAAATGAATGAGGTTTGTAGCCAGGCTCAGCACCAAACATTGTAGTAGGCAGAGGTCCATGTCATCTCAACCTCAGTGGAGACCAGAGTGGTGAGTTGGTTGCCTTCCCAAGGCAGATGATGACAGTGCCACCAGAACAGTGATGTGGGTTGGAAACGGATTGGTCTTCCTCCAGCTCTGTTCTCATCACTCTTCTATGGCCCTGGCCCATCTTGTCAAGCAGCACTGATGAACATCAAAGGCCGAATATTTCTAAGTAGAAGAAGATGCTCTTGCCTTGTCCAGTGGAGCTATTTTAGTGCTGGGACCTGTTGTTCACCCAGGGGAGAAGACGAGCAGGTCAAATGGCCAATTAGTTTTCCACACAGTTCTGAGAGTCAACTGAGAGCAGATCTCCTCCATACATACGCCTGAAACTTTTAATGATATAGAGCTTGCAGTGATTAGGAAATATGTAACTAGATCCATAATTAAGTATGACAACTAGATGCTTCGAGGAAACCCACACACACATGGCAGAACCCTGATTATCCACTTTTCCCAATTTGAGGAGGAAGATAAGTTTCCGCCTCTTCTTGAGAAGAAAGACCATAGCATTTAAGATATTGGAAGGAATGCTGTCTTCTCCCATGATTTCTGGAGAGGCTCTTGCTGGAATGTAGGAGTGTCTTCTTTCCTTGGTGACAGGCAAGGCAATAATATTTACCTTCAACATTGTCAACCGCTTTTGTTTCTGCGGTGCATCTAGAAACTTAGATGAGAAACCCAGATTGAGGATTTAAGTACTGATGGAGTTTTGGAGCCATCTCAATTCTGAAAGATATGAGGATTCTGCAGGTTTTTGTGTTCCTTGAAGTGCAAGAAAACCCGAATCTAGCTAGTGGCTCACCTAAATTGGTTTTATAGCTGACTTTTTCATTAACAAAATGTCATATTCTGGAAGTGATTGTGGGTAATAGAATGGAGAAAAAAAATACACAATTGTGTACCTTTGCTCTCCCTCTTCCCTTTTCAAATTATTTTCTTTTAACACAGGAAAAAAAAAAGAAATGAATTCTATGACACAGAATGAGTAAAGAAAAGGCAATTACTGAGAAACAGAATGTATTGTATTATGAGTGTAATAGAAGAGTTATGTAGCCAAAAGGCTGGATTTGTTTTCTGCACTTTTTTATTAAAATAATATTTCTTAAGGGTGAGCATATTATAACACACTGTTGGGTTACAGTAATATTTTGTGATGCTAAGGGTGTACCTTTTACGTGAATAAAGAGTCCATGGGTCTTGCCTACTTAAGATAATTCCAAACTGAAGGGTTGGGATCTTGTTGGGATATATTTTTTTCTTAATATTTGGTAAGCTCACCAAATCCAAGATCACCCTTGTTCAACTTGATCATCACCAGACATGTTAGAATTTGACTCTCATTTCTCCCAGAAGTCAAAAACGCTAAAGTTTGAGATGCACAGATCCAGTGCTTTTTTTCTAAAAAAAAAAAAAAAAAGGTGCTGGAACTCACACACATCATACAACCCACCTTGCCTACCCTATAAGGTTCCATCCAAAAAAGGTGCCGGAACTCCGTTCTGGGCGTTCTATGAGGAAAAAAAGCCCTGCACAGATCTAATTCAGTGGTTTCAATAAAGACGGTGCAAGGCACAAAATATTTACGTTGATAAGATAAATAGCTAAACCGTAAAGACCCAGGAAAAGTGGGAGAAGTGCCTTCTCTGTTCCAGCAGCTATTCTCTGTAACAGCATATCTCCTGCAATCTGGAGAGCTCTGACTCTGCTGGTCTTTTGTAAGGTTTTGGAAGATCTGGTTCTTCTCAGTCATTCAGACCTGATGTTAAAGACCCCACTTTTAAAGGGCTGATATGAGCAGCTTTGGGAGCGATATGTTTTGTTAAATTGTTTATTATTTAGCTGCCCCAAGTCACATGGAACCAATAAATGAATAAATGACAGGGGAGATAAAAACTAAGAGCTGGATTGCTCATCCTGGGAGAGCTGCTGGTGTCAGGGTTCAATTTAACTAGCTCTTAAAGACCATATACTGTAGCAGGACAGAATGGAAGGAAAAGAAGCTGCTTTAGGGAGGATGCAGAGAGCAAGTTCAGAAACATAACCCCCCTCCCCACTGATGGGGGATGGGGGAGATAGAAATGGGAAGAGAGAAAGAAGAAAAGAAGGTTGTTTGGAACCAGCAAACTAAGAAACCCTCTTTGCTAAAATGTATCTCATGAACAAGAGAAACACAAAAGTGAAGAATTGGGTGAAGAATTTTGGAACGGTTGGTTGATTGGCCAATATGGAGAAGTTGGAAGTTTCAACTGTTCAGAAAGTCACCTGATTTGAGAGTCTGTGTGAGAATTGGGGATAATTCAGTCAAAAGATAATCTCAGAGAAGGCAATTTGGCCCAAGGGGTGAGGGATCAGAGGAAAAATGCCTTAAAGAGACACCAACTTAATTCACTATAACTGAGCCCGGGAAATTTCTATGACAGTTTCCAAGATTCGGGACTTATTCCAGACTAGCATTAAAGTATGTACTGAAATTGTGACTTGTAGCTTCCTTGGTCTTGCCAGCTATGTGGGGCTCTACACCTAATGCACATGATGGAGGGAAAATCTTGCTTGGATGGTCAAGCGGAGAAGATTGGTGGTCTAAATCAGAAGGAGGGAACTTGGAAGACAGTGAGAACTTCTCCATGAAACTTTATGCTGAGGCAGATTACAGTTTGCAACGGAGAAGGAAGGATTAGTTTAGTATATTCTGGTCTTTGAAGCTGTGTTGCATTTCATCTGTTGCATGAGAAGCCAATGGTTAACTCTGAGCTCATCTCCTTATTGGATACTGGGGATTCATCTCCATTGAATTCAATAATTTAGTGCTGTTTAACTTTATTAATGCAACTATGTGCTCTTCAAAAAACTGAGCTCTTATGAAAAACTTTTGGTAAGGAGGGAGAAAGGGGAAGAAGAAAGGAAGTGTTAACCCTTCGGGTAGGCCTGATCAGGAAACAGGCAGAGCAAGGAATTCAGGAATTCACCTTTATTCTTGCAGGATATAACAAAGACATCTTAAAAGCTTGCCCAAACATGCCCGTACCCTACTGATGCCAAAGAGAATCAAGGTAGGGTTATTTTGAGTTTCTTTCCCATGCCCTCTCCTTTTCTGGGACTGAATTGCCATTTATTTTTCTCTAAGAAGTTCTTGAATTTCAAGGTTATGTTTCTATTGTTCTATGAGAAGAGGTTGTGGAGGCCCAGGTCTGGGTGCTAGGAATATTACATTAAGTATAGTTGTTAAAATCATTTCAATAATGGTCAGTGGTTAAAGGGCCTGATGATAGCATGGGCCTGAAATATAGGTAGAAATATAGGACTAGATGAATGAGAAAGAACTGGGAATGTAAATTGCAAATTAACGTTGTCAACTGCGTATAAAGAAAACCAAATTAAAATGTTTTACAGATGGCATCTAGCACTGGCGAGATTGGCTAAAATTTATAAAAATATGAATCCAGATTGTTGGAAATGCAAAAATAATGAGGGAACATTCTACCATATGTGGTGGCAATGCCCCAAAGCAAAAATCTACTGGGAGCAGATAAGAATATGGCTACTGGAAATAACAAACAACAAATTGAATTCAAGCCCAAAATATTTTTATTAGGCATAATTAATGCAAAAATTGAAAAACGACTCCAATACATCATTATACATATTATAACGGCTGCATGTATTGCATATGTGCAACACTGGAAAAGTGAAAACATACCAACAAATGCAAAGATTATAGGAAAGGTTTTAGACTGTGCAGAGATGAACAAACTAACCTTAGAAATGAAAGACAAAGAAGTTACTGAATTTTACGAGGTATGGGACATGTATTATAGTTGGTTAGAATTGAGAAATAAAAAAGTAAGAGAAGTAATGTACTGTAAATAATTGTTAATAAACTTAAGAGATATAGGACATCGTATTGTTAAGGGAAAAGGAAAATGTATTGTGTATTGTGTATTTTGTCTGTTTGAAAAAAGAAAAATATAAAAAAATAATGGTCAATGGTAAATAAGTAAATAAATAGTATTTCTGATATTGTTATTGCATTGTCTGCACCTGTGGCATTTATATACCAAATAAAGTTGCTGAGACTGAAGTTGCTGATAAATTCGTAGATAAAAAAATATTTTTATTGGTTTCCAAAAGAGGGAAATTTTCCCTTCGATGCCCCCTCACCTTCTTGGTGGAAGGTTTGGGAGCAGGTTTGATAAGAATAAATTAGCTGACATACTAGCATACTGATTCTTGTCTTTTTCTTTTGAAGATATCTTTAAAAAAATGTTTTGTTAGTCTTTATTGACTCTATTTACAGGGCTTCTCATCTGAAACAAGTGACTCCAGGTGGCTAATAACAAGAAGATTAATTGAGGACAGTCTTGAGAATGGGGGAGTGGGGGAGGGAAACAGAAAGAATGAAGAGATCCGTTTGTAACAGATGGTGGACCAT